TTGAATTAGCCCAATTAATTACGGTCAAATTGGTTCAATTCTACAGAGTGTAAAAATATAGACTACCTGTGTTTACAGATTATGGTGAAAACTACCTACACAAAAGCGATCAACTTGGGTCATTTCCATATCAAGTTACACATGGTCAGAATAACACAATAGTAAATTCTACTTAGAGTATTATATCATAATCGTGTTGGATGTGAGAATATAAGTCAAAGTGAGTGAAAATAAATGCAAACACTGTCAGAAGGTTGACACCGAACGGGAGAATCTGATTGGTTGGCTAGCGTGGAGAAGGGCGCTATGAAAGGTCATCAGGTGAAATGAACAAATAAGTGAAGCAACGAAACATGGATCAGCTGAATTAGAGGGCGTTCCTTGTTGCCTAAAACCACAAAAACGTCAAGATGTTATCAAATTCTTACCACAGGTAACAAAATCATCATCGGACGTGCCCGTTCGAAATGCATCACCGCAATCACTGGCTGCGGGATAAGGAACAACCAACGAGTCGTACGGATGTAGTCTCAGTGAGGTAATATCCACATAAGGGTTATCCCCATTCTCAAACAAACCGGGAGAACCGTCTCCAAAGCCGAAAGCAGATGTGGTTGAAACTGCCCAGGGCTGTGATAATTATTAAAAACCAGGAAGACCATATGAACAGTATGTGGTCAGCTTATAACGGTGGATTGCGAACAGTAGGCTGTCAGCTAACTCAGGGATTATTTGTCTAGCACTGGCGATTTCAGAGTAAACAATGCAGAATAGGATGGCAAGCGCTACTCGGCAACAGGACCCTATGACCTCAAAAAATCAGTGGCTGTAACCCGAAGTCACTCTTGCTTATGCTTGCAAATGATAATCTAACCGATGACCGAAGTTAATTGCCCAGTATTCTAGCTCGACTGTAATCGCACAGACTCCCAGGCCCACAACATATCTGTTTGAAAGTGTACAGTTAAGGTGACAACGCACAACAAATTTGTGCGACAAAATTGTGACGAGGAATCGGTTTGTTTTGGCATGTGTTAATAATTTCCATTATGAAGATATACAGTCGAAGATCATTTCTTTCAATCGGACATTGGTGCGTAACCGCTTAACGGGATGTTCACCAACAAGCAATCGATCAGGCAAGTTTGGAAGAAAATTCCGTAAACTTGCAACGAATGCGTTGCAAACAAAGCAATGATGACTAGG